AGGAGTAGGACCAGGAGGAGGAGGAGTTGAGGTGAGGAAGGAGGGAGAAGAAGAGAGAGGAGGAGCGGAGGGAGGAGAGGGAGGAGGAGGGGAGGAGGAGGAGGAGGAGGAGGAGAAGGAGGTTGAGGTTGAGGGCGTTCCGGGGACGCGCGCGTCGAGGCACGCGCGACTCGGTTGCGGCTCCGAGGCCGCGGGGCCGCGGCCGAGGCGGCGGGGGGCCAGCGGCCTCAGGACAGCACGGCAGCCCGCTGGCCACGTCGTCGGCCCGCGGCCGCTTGGCCCGAGGAGTGCTCTCTCTCGAGGAGGAGGAGGAGCAGGCAGGAGGAGCAGGCAGGAGAAGCAGGCAGGAGGAATCTGCAGGAGGCGGCGGCGGCGGCGGCGCTGCACACGAAAGGCCGATCACCGGTGAGGGCCGAGCCAGGGAGGGACTGGGCGGGTGCTCTCGCGCGAGTAGCGCGGCGCCTCGCCTGCTCGGGGGGGCACCAGCGGCGGCCCCGTGCCGGCACGGGAGCTGCCAGTTCACGGCCCACGCCGCAGCGCCTCCTCGCCACACGGGCCGCAGGCAGGCCAGACGGAACCGACACAACACGTCTCGGCCCACCAGCAGTGATGGGCCAGCTGTCCACCACCACTACCATAGGTAGGACGGGGCTGAAGGGAGGACGAGGAGGTCCTCCTCCTCCTCCTCCTCCCTCCCTCCCTCCTCCTCCTCCTCCTCCTCCTCCTCCTCCTCCTCCTCCTCCTCCTCCTCCTCCTCCTCCTCCTCCTCTCCTCCCCCCCTCTTACTCCCTCCTCCTCCTCCTCCTCCTCCTCCTCCTCCTCCTCCTCCTCCTCCTCCCTCCTCCTGCCCATGGCAGTGGTGGTGGAAAATGAGGCCATCAAGCAGGCCGCAGCGACGCGGGGGAATGCGGGCGAGCGGGCGGGCCTGGCCACGCCGCGAGCCCCCACGGGCAGAGCGGCGGGCGCGGAGGCGGCACGGGCGGGCCCCCCCAGGGAGGGGGGGGAGGCCCACAGGCCCAGGCAAACGTAAAACATACAAGAAGAAGAAGAAGAAGAAGAAGAAGACGACAAATCGAATATACACACATCGAAGAAGACACATCGAAGAAATAGAGAACGCAAAAAGTAGAGATGCCCACAGGACCACAGGCCCAGAATCGAGGAAGACATATCGCCGCAAACATAAACTTGTTGGCGCTCCGGGCGGATTCCTTGGATCCTCGCTGGGCTCCCCCCCCCGGGCGGCGCCTCCGGCGCCGCCCCTGGCGCGCTCCTCGCGCCAGGGAGGGGGGGTCCAGCGCGGATCCAAGAAATCCGCGCGGAGCGCCAAAAGTTTATGCGAAGGCTTTTCTCCTTTTTCTGTCACAGAAGAAGTGGTGAGAGTGAGCAAGAGGGGAAGAGGATCGAGACGGCGAGCCAGGCAGGAGTGACCGGCGGCGATGGGGACGCGGCAGGCGGTGGCAGATGCTTCGACAGCGGCCCTCCTCGGGACCCCAGCAAGAAAGGAGAGGCCACGGAGCGGGCCCGACACGGGTCCGCACACTTGCGGCCACCCTCAAGGAGGGCACCAAAAGCTCAGAAGCCCTATGCCTCACACCACTGCCACTGGGTCGTGCTTCGAAGGCCTCGGGGACACTTTGGGGAAGACTCTTGGGCTTCTCGGGGGCCTCCTGGGGGCCTCTTTGGCCCACTCGGGCGCGTCTTGGGGCATCTTGGTGCCCATTGGGGTCCACCTAAAGGTCCTGGGATGATGTTGGAAGGGGGGGTTGGCCTCCAGCGGTCAGACAGCCACGTGGTTTGGGGGGGATTCTCTCGGGGCCGTTTCTTGGCGCCTCCTGGGTCTCCCTGGGGCATTCGGAAAATCTGGCCGACGGGCCGACTCCCCGAGGGGCCGACGGGCCGACTGCGGAGCTGGAAAGTTCTTTCCCGTGCTTCGACTTGGCATCGCTCGGACGTGTGCACGTGTTTCTCGGCGAGAACCATCGAGGACCATCCTGGACCATCGAGCAAAACAAAAACGCGCACGATATCGAACAATGCACGGGAAATGGACGTCCGATCGACGGCAAGTCGAACATTGTCCTTAAATTCTCTCCAGGGAGGGCCTCGAGGGTTTCAGCAGGCCTAGAACTAGCCCGAAGATCTCAAGAGGGAAAGAAACACTTTTTTCGTCAGCGGCGAGGCGGCGGACTCCGCTCCAGCGAGAAGCTAGAAAGGGGCACTAACTAGCGAATTGGCCGGCGGGCAAGGAGGGGGGGGGGGGGGGGCGGCCGAGAGGAAGAAGGGACGCTCAGACGTCGGCGCAGACACAAATAATCGTCGATTCCCAGGAAGGTATGGGAAGCGGGGAAGCGGGGGGTAAGACGAACATCACGACAATTGTCCCCGGCGGGGAAAGGACCGAGGGCCAACAAGGAAGGGGCGTCTCATGGCATCGATTACGACCCAGGTGACCGCAGCAAGAGGAATGGAAAAGCCTCTCCGAGTACAGTCGACCCGCATGGTAAGGACGGGCAGCCTTCCCAAAGGGTACCCTTTGCATCCTTGCCTCCTCGGTCCATCCTTGGCCACTTTCGTTGGCCGCGCCCCGCTCGAAGAGCCTCGACATGGGCGTCCAAGGCCCTTGCATCCTCAGCGCGCATCCTCATGATACGGGTTGATTGCAAAAAGGGGGGACAGCTTCGAATGCAAGAGCACCTCCGAGTACCACCTCTGGACGGCCACACTGGGACTACCCATCCCACACACGCCGACAGGGTCTTCGGATGTGGAGCTGCCTTCCAGTCGCCCTCGTCCTCTCTTCTCCCCTTCCCCCCCCATCCTCGTCCTGCCTCCCCCCCTCTCCGTCCTCGTGCCTCCTCCTCACTCCAGGACTGGGCTCGGGAAATACGGCTTCGGGATCCAGCCGACCCTCGACAACAGGGCTGCCAGCATCGACAGGATCGACCCCGACGGCATCTTGGCGCGGTGGCGCTACCCTTAAGCCAGGCCTGTCCCTCTACAGGAGGAATATTCAAAAATGATCCAACGAACAGTCTGGGGACGATTTTTGTTGTGTTTTTTGTTTCCTTTTCTGTTACAACAACCAAATAACTAATGTGGGATATTCCTGGTTTGTTCCATCCCAAATCCCCCTGTAGGGGGACATGCCCGACCTAACGCTACCCCCAGGACTGCTGGAGGAGCGAGGCAGGGAGGCGAGAGGCAGGCAGGAGGAGGAGGGAGGACGGCGAGGGCGACATCATAGTTCTAGGAGAGCCTGGGAGGTTCCCGCGCGCTCCCCTCCCGGCCTCAAGCCTCCCAGTCCCTTTCCGATTCCAATTGGCCCTCTTCCTACGAAGTGTAAGTCGGGCACGGCCCTCTACAGGAGGAATATTCAAAAATAGTAAAACAACTACTTGTGTTTGAATTGGTTGGAGCATGTGTGAGATATTTGCTTTTTCGTCCGACATCCACCTGTAGGGGGACACGCCCGACATAACACCAAATTCCCCCCCCTCTCTCCCCTTCCGAGTCCCCCTGCGCCTCAGTCCTCTTTCTGTCTTCCTCCAGTGTCTCCTCTTTTACCACCCCCCCTCCCCCCTCTCATACCGTCCCCCTATCCATGTCCCTTCCCTTTCCCATCCTCCTCCTCCTCCTCCTCCTCCTCCTCCTCCTCCTCCGCCTCCTCCTCCTCCTCCTCCTCCTCCCCCTCCTGCTCCTCCCCCTCCTCCTCCTCCTCCTCCTCCTCCTCCTCCTCCTCCTCCTCCTCCTCCTTCGGGCTCTCCTTCGACGAAAGGCTAACCGATCGCCGCAGAGGCGATCGGCTATCCTGGCCTACATGGGCCGCGATTTCTGGACCCAAGAGAAAGCCTGGCGTGCGGGTTTCGGGGACGACAGGTCCTGTCAAGCCTGTGGCGCTGAAGTCGGATGCCAGCACCATCGTTTCTGCCGCTGCCCAGCCCGAGGAGCAGCGAGAGCCACCGTCGCCGAGGATGAGGGCCTCCAAGGGATCGTGCATCGTGCTGAAACCTCCTCCTCGGATTCCCTCCTCTTCTCCCGTGGGCTTCACGAGCATCCCTTGGAGGACCCACTGTCGGATTGGATTTCTGCCCGAGAGGAAGAAAATCCCGATTTTGTGAATCCCCCGTTGGTCTCAGGTTGGGCCTACTCCGACGGCTCGGCCAGAGGCCCTCCAGGGCTCAAGAGTTCCGGCTGGGGCTACGTTTTCCTGGACCAGGACGGGGGGGCTGTCAAGGCCATGCGGGGTACCCTCCCAGGGCTGCGTAGTCTCGCCTCCGTCCTCCGTGCCGAATTGTATGGATTGCTCAAGCTGCTGGCTAGCGCTCACCCGCCTTTGCGGGTAGGGATCGACAATAGTTCGGTCATTCGAGGCCTCCGTAGGGGCCCCCGCTGGTGCTGCAGCCCTCGGAGGCCGCACGCTGACCTCTGGGGCAGGATCTGGGCCCTGCTCCAGGACAGCTTCGGCCAGGAAGGCGACTTCCAGGCCGTCAAGGTGAAAGCCCACGCTCGTGGGCCCAAGGACGACTCCCACGAGAGCCGTCTCGATTTTCAAGGGAATCAATTGGCAGACAGCGAGGCCCGCCTTGGGGCCGACATGCAGGAGGTTCCCCCGTGGAAGGCCCAGACCTGGACCACCCGCTCGGCGGAGGTCCAGGCGGTGCTGACTCTGGTGGCGGGGGTGACGGGGCGGACTGCGGACTTCGGGGATTCCACGGGGAGGCCTGCCGCGGGTTCCCGCGGAGCCCGCCGACGGCGGCAGGGGCCGCCCAAGGGTGCTCGCGCCCACGTCCTCCTCTGGAGGAAGGGGGCGTGGCGGTGCGCGACGTGTGGCCGCAAGGCTTTCTCCAGCAAGGCCAGGCGCGCGTTGGCGCGCAGGCCCTGCCAGGGTAAGATGAGGGTGGATCGTCGTTGGGGAGTCGAACTGGGGCGGGGGGACGGGGAAGGAGACATCTCTCCCGCCCTTCGCGGTGCGGCTCTTGGACACGAGCTGCACCCCGTGGGCCAGTACACCTTCTGCGATCGGTGCGGTGTTTTCTCTAGCGAGAGGGGGTGCAAGCTCTTTGGTGCTTGCGGAGGGGCTCCAGCGAACCCCACCGCAGGGTACCGCCTCTCGCTCCTGCGCCGAGGCAGAAATCCTTACGCAGTGAAGGTCTCCCTGGATGCGGTACCGCGCTCCCTGGTACAGGAGGAGTGCGCCGCCTTCTGGGAGTGCCTCATGGACTGAATCGGGATGGAGGCGGGAAGGCACCCCGTGGCGGAGTGCCCGCCTATCCCATGTAATCTTGTGGCGAGCTGGGGCGGGGACCGCCAGGCATCGTTCTTGCAGCAAAACCTCCTCCTCCTCCTCCTCCTCCTCCTCCTCCTCCCACTTTTCCTCACATATTACTGTGCCGCCTGTAACCTTTCAATCTGCAGCAGCTTTGCGGATGGAGGGCGGGCCGCTTTCAAAGTGCGGCTCTCTTGTTCACGCCGCGCACCTATAGAGCTTCAGGGATGGAGGGCGGGTCGTGTTCAAAGGTGGCCCTCGCTTCAACGCCGCGCGCATTCGTTTTTAGAAGCACTGCAAGAGTTTAACGGATGGTGGGCGATTCGTTGCTTAACTGTCGTTCTCGCTAGCGCCGCGCAGATTCGCTCAAACCAGTTTCGCAGCAGCTGCATGGATGGAGCGCGGTACCTGTTCAAATGTGGTTCTCGCCCTGGCGCCGCGCACGTTCATCTTCAAAGTGTGCAGCAGGTTCAAGGATTATCATGGCTACCGCCTCAGATGTCGTGTTTTAGGATGATGTAGGGTTGTCAGGGCGCAACAATTAGGTTGATTCGCGGTGCTGAAGTCCCAGGCAACGGCGTTCTGGTACGACTTAGGATCGCGAAAACGCAACATTGTGTTTGACTCGTGGCGTTGATGTTCAAGGAGTGGTGCTCTATCACGGTTCAGGATTTTCAAACGGTTGCCTTCCATCGGGATGCCCTCAGTGGGAAGCAATCGTCGTAGGGAACTACGAAGAGGGAACTTCGAGGGAGGATGTATCGAAACATCTTTGATGAGTCTTCGGTTTGCACTGGTCCTCCTCCTCATTTTCCTCTTTCTTCTCCCCTGCCTTCTTCTCGTTCTGTTCATGCCTCTTCTCCACCTCTTTACAGTCTCTCCTCCCCTACCCCCCGGTTTCCCTCTGGTCACCTCTGGCGTCCTCATGTTAGTTCCCCTAGATCCGATCTCCTGCATCCTCCGTTACCTCCTCTTTGACCTTCTTTGCTTCCTCCATCTCCTTCGTCCCCTCCTCCTCCTCCTCCTCCTTCTCGTCCTTCTCCTCCTCTTTATCCCGCTCACTTCCCCCGGCAACTTTTCAGAACCCTTCTGGGATCATCCCAAGAGCAAGCCACAGTCCTAGACATCCGACGATGCGCTTCTTCACCATCCGCGGCCCCAGAGGTCCATAGACCCCTTCCCCAGGAACGGGGGACGTATCAGAAGCCGAACGGACTTGCTTAACGTCGTCCTCGTCGTCGTCCTCGTCGTCCTCCTCGTCCTCCTCGTCGTCCTTGTCGTCCTCGTCGTCCTCGTCCTCGTCGTCCTCGTCGTCCTCGTCCTCGTCGTCCTCGTCGTCCTCCTCGTCCTCGTCGTCCTCGTCGTCCTCGTCGTCGTCGTCATCCTCGTCGTCCTCGTCGTCCTCGTCCTCGTCGTCCTCGTCGTCCTCGTCGTCCTCGTCGTCGTCGTCGTGCTGGCCGCTCCCGGCCGGCCTCGCGGGCCAGCGCGTGCAGGGCTGCGGCGCAGCAGCGCGGACGCTCCCACTTCGCCCCCCTTACCCTGGGGGTCTGTTTCCTGACGGCCCCAAGGCACGACCACGGGTCTCAGATCAAGGGAGAATGATGATGTTGTTGATGATGATGCTTATGATTAGTAGGAGGAGGGATAGGAGGAGCAGGAGGAGGAGGAGGGCGAGGAGGAGAAAGCGGAGGAGGAGTAGGAGGAGGAGGAGGGAGGACGATGATGAGGAGGCTGAGAAGGAGGAGGAGGAGGCGGAGGCGGTGGCGGAGACAGGAGGAGCCCTCTTCGACCACGATGAAACCAAAGAGCTCTCAAGCTGTGGATGCCTGATTGACTCTAGTTCATGGGAAAAGTGCCCCGAGGCGCAAAACATGCATGCATGTACACGTGGAATCTTGCAGCAATTCATGCGGGGTATTATCGCGATCATGCGCTGCACTGGCACGGCAACGATCACACTTGCTCGGAGCATCGTTGTTGTGCCAGCGCAGCGCATGATTGCGATAATGCCCCAGATCAAGGGAGGAAGAACCACCTGGACTGGACTGTTGGCGTTTTTTTAACGGCCCTGGGCGTTCACAAAGAGCCCTGCCATGTTCGATTCCTTCACCGGGTGCGTTTACCAAACGGCCTCGCTTGTCGGGGTAGGTATTATGGGGGGGGATTTGTTGCCCTCTGCCAGAGGCCCAAAGCTTCAGTCGGGCATGCCCCTCTGCAGGAGGAATGTGTATTCGAGGATCGACGAAAGCATCATATGCTGACGATGTGTTTGACTATTGCTTCACGTTTTGACAGTTTTTTATGCTTCGTCCGAAGCCCGCCTGTAGGAGGACATGCCCGACCTAACCCAAGTCGAAGCGGCGGGACTGAAGAAATCAGGCGCTTCCCGGGATCTGCTGGCGGTCCCAGCCGCCGCCCTCCGCCCCAGCTCAGGTGGAGCGTGGCGAACCCAGCCCAGGCCGTGAGGGCAACGATAGCAATGATAGCGATGAGAGCAGCGATTACGACGATCACAACGATCATCACGATGGCAACGGCCACAATGATAGCAACGATCACAACGATAACAACGATGACAGCGGTCACAGCGATCGCGGCGATCAGGACGAACACGACGAGCACACTGCTCACCACGATCGCAACGATCAGAACGATCACATCGCACCCCCCGAACGAGCCGTAGAGCCCCACCCGCCGCCCCCAGTTGGGCGTCGCGCAATTGGGGGGCGGTCAAGGGGGGGGCCCGTGTGGAGCCCCCGAAAAGGGCGCTTCAGGGCCCCACAGGGGCCTTGTAGGGGCCGAGAAGTGCACCTCTCCTCCCACACCCACGCTGAGGAGGAGCAGCCTCCCCCCTCCCCCGAATTTCCCCCCCCGCCTGCGCGCCGCCAACCCAGACATGCGACGTCCTGATTTTTGTCAATACGGGGCCCCTGGAAGTAGTCCCGACCCTTTCCCTGGGACCGGTTTTTCATCCTGAGTAGTTTTCTGACGGTCCCGAAGCCGGGCGAGAGCCCTCCGAGGCCGATAACGACCAAAAGCCTCCCGTCCAGATTGCTTCACGACGCGATCATGCCTGGGAGCCCGCGACAGCGCAGGTGGAACATGGAGAACCCAGCCCAGGCCGTGAAGATCGGGGACACGCTCGTCTGCGTCAACGGGGTGTCGGACAGCCTCGACGACATGGAGCAGGACACTGGGGCTCCTGCGCCTTCTCGGCCGGGAGGTCTTGAGCTGGGGGTAGCGCGCGGTCGAGGGACGTCATGTGGTCTCTCGTCCTCCTCCTCGCTCCGAGAAGGTAAAGAGGTCTTACCCTCCTCCTTTCTCCGCCTCCTCCTCTGCTCCTTCGCCTCCCCGAAAGTAGTGAAGGGATCTCACCCTGAAATGGACCCGAGCGCCACCCTGCGGGAGACCGAGTTGCACAGGCAGACCTCAACGGGTACGTCGTCTCCTTCTCGTTCTGAGAAAAAAGAGGGAAGGGAGAGACCAAGGGCGAGGAGGACGAGGAGGTGGGAGCGAGGAGGAGGAGCTCCGAGAACGACCAGGTGCAGGAGGAGGGAGGGAGCGAGGAGGAGGAGGAGGAGGAGGACGACGTTCCCCTCCACGTTCACATCGCCTTCTCCTCCTCGTTCCTGTCATCCTCGTTCCAATCCTCCTCCTCATCCTCCTCCTCCTCCTCCTCCGCCTCCTCCTTTTTCCCATCCTCCTCGAGCTCCTCCATCCCTTGTGCTTACAAGTAACTCCTCTCTATCCCCCCCCCCTGGCGTGTCCGTAGGGTGGGCAGGGCGTTTCGCTTGAGTTTCCCTCGCCATTTATGCTGCAGCTTCACGGATGGAGGGCGGTCCGGTTTTCAAATGTGGTTCTCGCCTTTGCGCCGCGCGCATTCGTCTTGAAAGTTGACAGCAGCTTCCCGACTAAAGGGCGGGCTGCGTTCAAACTGTGTTTGTTCTTTTAGCGCCGCTCGCATTCGTCTTCAAAGTTTGCGGCGATGTTGCGGATGGTTGGCGGACGGTTTTCAACATGTAGTTTCCGTTATGGCGCGGCGCCCACTCGTCCGAAAAACATGTAACCGTTTCAAGGATCGAGGGCGGCTCTTTTTCAATATGTGGTTCTGGCCTCAGCGTCGAGCTCATTCTTCTTAGAGTTTCCTTCAGCTTCAAGGATGGAGGGTGGCTCATGTATGCTGGTCTCGCCCCAGCGCCGCGAACATTCGTTTCAACAGTGTGCAGCAGTCTCAAGCTTACGTGTAGACGAAGTCACCGACAGTTTGTTCTGGCACGAAATAGGGTCGTCAGGACTTGGTAGTCAAGTTTATTCGCGATGCTGACATCCCAGGAACGGCGTTCTGGCGCGATTTCGGATTGCCAGGACGCAGCGGTCACGTGGATCTTCGGCGCTGAAGTCCCAGACATTGTGTTTTGGCACGATTTAGAAATTTCCGACTGTTATCGTTCAGTGGGCCGCTTCCCGCGGTGGAAGTAATCCTATACGTGCGTATGACGAGGGAATGTTGCAGAAAGGGAATATTGCAACATCGTCGATGCGTCTTCGATTGGCACTGGTCACCCACCCTCCTCGCCCTCGTCGTCCCCCTGCTGCTGCTGCTGCTGTGGCAGGGCTCCCAGGCGCGCAGCGCGGCCGAGGGGATCAGGCCTCGCCCGCAGGGGCGCAGCAGGTGCCGCAACCCGAGGCGTTGGCGTCGCTGGCCCCGCCAGGACTTGCCGTCAGCGAGCCCCACGGGGTGGGGTGTGGGGGGAGGTGGGCAAAGACCAGGCGCGGCTCGCGCCCGTCGCACGACAGCGGCACGCCGCGCCATCCAGGCTCACGTGGAGGGACAGCACCCTGCAACCTCCCAGATGGGGTCCGAGCAGATTGGGTCGGAGGAGCCCGCCGCATCGCCGATGCATCGCCGACGCGGCTGGATGCGAAACGCGGCTTTCCCCACGCCGGCGGCGCCGATGCATCGCCGATGTCGCCAGCGCATCGCCGATGTCGCCAGTGGTCCGACCCCATTTAGGAGGCCTCTGAACACGGGCGCCACACGGGCGATCTCTCGAGGCGACGGGGGGGATCGAGGGGTCGCCCTCATGCCCGCAGTGTTCTGCGCATCGCGACCTCGAGAGCGGTAGGAGCGCACCGCGGACACTCCCGCCTTCCACTCCGTCTCAAGATTCTTGCGTCGTCATCTGCCGTCCGCATCACATGCCATGTATCGCAGCACGCGCATGTACGCTCCGCTCCGCTCCGCCGAAGAGGGCTCCTGTTCTGGTGCAGTTGCGGGCCCTGTTTCCGTCAGACGCCTCCTCGGCCTCCCTTGAGGTCCGACGTCTCGAACAACATTAAGACATCGTGGAAAGTCACGGCCGGAGCCCCGGACACCCCATCTTTCGGCGTCATATCGCGAGCCGCATCGATCCGTGAGGCTCCCGTGGCTCGAAGCCGGGCGCAAACGCCCGGCTCGAAGACACGGAGTCGCCAGGATCTCGGGGCCCCCCCGCGCCTCCCCCCGCGCGGCGGGGCTGCTGGCTGCGCGCTGCCGAGGCGCCCTCTGGGACGCGGCCGGGGCGGCGTCCCCGCCCCGCCGGGCCCGCCCGGGGGCGCGAGCCTCGAGCGGCGGCGCCCTGCGCACGGCCCGGGCGGTTTGTTTCGCGTGGGGTGTGCGCGCACGCGGCCGCTCGCTGCCAGCCTCGAACGTATCCCCGTCCCTAAGATTGACACGCCAAAGAGCGATGACAGTCTTAGGGATGCGCCCTCAAAAAATAAGGGAATCCCTAAGATTGGCATCGTGATGAGGAGATTCCCAGCATAGGGATAGGGATATGTTCCAGGCTGGTAAGCTCGGCGAGGCGGCTTGGCTGCAGCTCCGCGCGCCAGACTCCAGCCTGAGGGTAAGTCGGGCATGGCATGGCGCCAACATCGCAGAGCGGAGTTCCTTCGGAAGGCGATGGGGTGGGCCCGGAGTGTCCTGGGGAATGTCGTTCCTGATTTCAAGGCGAATTTCGTTCGGATTTCTGTTTGGCCAGGAATGAAAAGCAAGAGGAATCTACGCGAAATTCATTTCGTTGTTCGCTCGCCGTTTCGGGCAAAATCTGCGCAGAAATCCACGCAGAAGTCCGCTGCAGCACATCTGCAAGGCCGGTGCAATGAGGCGTATCCCCCGCCAGGAGGAATGATTTTACAATACTTTTGAACAAATATCCTGGGAACGGTTTGCCCGTTAGTTGTTGACTGCTGTTCTGCATGTTGTTGATTGTTTTTCTTTCCTCCAAGACCCCTGTTGGAGGACATGCCCGACGCCAGCCTGAGAGATCCTGGCGCCCCATTTTTGTTCGAGCCCGGCGTCCTCGCTCAGCTTGGGGCCCCAGGGTGCGCCCGCAGGTGGCTCGGGCTCTCAAAAGTTGGCGCCGAAAGATGGGCCGGGCGGGGCTAGGTCAGGAGGAGAACAAAACACACAGACACAATTAATCGTCGATTCCCCAGAAAATATGAGAAAGTATGGGAAGTGGGGGGGAAGACAGAAACCGAGAAAATATAAGAAAATATGGTGAATCCGGTTATTTGTGTGTATTTATTTGTGTGTCCCAGTTCCCCTTCACTAGGACGAGGATAATGTTTGTATCGGAGCCCTCCGGAGCGCTCCCCAGACCCCTTCGGGCAATGAAAAATTCGTGACGGGAGCTTTCTCGCTAGTTTCGGCTACGGGGGGCCCTCGCCGGGCCACGGGCCCGTCAAGAAACGACTCAGGAGGAAAGACCGGTCTAGGGGGAATGGGTCGAGACCTCCAGGGGTCGACGTACAGTCGGGGCCCTGAAGAAGGAACCCTTTTCGTTGGGGAGGGGCTCGGTGTTCCTTGATTGTTTTACAGTTTGACTTGGGTTTTCTTTAAGTTTTCAATGGCAAATCGAAGTTCAACTTATGGAAAAAGGGGGCTTCGTTCCTTATTTAGGGTTCTAGGTCAACGCCCCGGCTGTAGTGCACAAAATCATGACGTCGGGGGTCTGGGTTTGCCACGCTCTTCTCAGATCGTGCCGGAACGCTCCGAGAAGGCCGTGGCAACCGAGACAGCCTCCAGAGCCGCCGGATCTCAGAGATTGTCGGTGCATCCTCGTCCGAAGTTGTCTTCGTCCTGGCTTCGCCTGGATGGGGTCCGGGGCTCTGGTCGTGATGTGTCACGATGTTGCGTTCTTTCGCGCCGTCGGAGCTTACAGTCAGCTCGCATAACAAGAGTGGGCATCCTTCCCACGGGCACCTTGCGGCCTTGCCATTTCGGCCCATCCTTGCCAACTTTCGCTGGCCATGTACCAGCCTCGAACGTATCCCTATCCCTAAGATCGACACGCCAAAAGGCGATGACAATCTTAGGGATTCGCCCTCAAAAAATAAGGGAATCCCTAAGATTGGCATCGTGATGAGGAGATGCCCAGCATAGGGATGGGGATATCCTCTAGGCTGGTAAACATGGCCCTCCAAGGCCCTTACAGCCTTATCGCGGATCCGTGTGATTCGGGCCGACGGTGCGGAGCGGCGTGGCACGGCCCTCCCCTCGGGGCGCGTGGCGCTGCTCCGCCGCCGGGGCAGGGCGGCTCTTGGCGGCAGCGGCACGGAGTCCGACTCCAGAAGACTCGGGCGCAGCGGCGAGGTCCTCCCACTGGCCCGAGGGGAGGCAGTGACTCACCGAGCGCGTTCCACTACTCGCTGAGCGCCTCTTCGCAAACGTCAGACAAGCACATGGCGGAGTTCGGAAACCCTGAGCCCACACAGGTGTTCATCTCTTGGGGGCGCACCTTCCGCCACCTTCCGCCGCCCTCCCACCGGCTTCCGCCGGCGGAGACGCCCTCGTTTTCCTTCCGCCGACCTTCCGCCGCCCGTCCGCCGCCTTCCGCGGCGGGAGAGATGACAATTCCTGCGGCCCTCGAAGGCAAGGCCTGCCCCACGGGTGTGCCTCGATGTGATGTGTCGTAGCACCCCCGCCGCGGGTGCAGGCCCTGTGCGAGTACGGCTGCTGTGCGAGTCGTAGCGCGCGCTCGCCTGTCGACCGCCGCCGCCAAGGGCGCCGCCCGCGGACGTGGCAGTCCCGGCGGCTTTGCGGGGGCTTCCCACAGCTCGGTCGCCCCCGGGCTCCCGCAGTATGGTCCCGGAGGCCCACGGGCCCGGCCTCCTGCTGCAGCGCCGCCCGCGGGCCGCGCCTCGGGCAGGCGGCGGGCGGCGCCGCGACGCGCATGCCACCGCGTGCTCGAGCCTGAGCTCTGCGCCGTCTGGGGGGGGGGGAAAGAAAAGGAGGAGGAAAAGGAGGAGGAGGAAAAGGAGGAGGAGGAGGAGGAGGAGGAGGAGGAGGAGTTGGAGGAGGAGAGGAGGGGAGGAAGGGAGGAGGAAGGATGAGGAGGAGGGGGGGGGGGGGGAGCTCGACTGCCCCGGGGCGGCGGCACGCCCGAGCGTCCCTTCTGCGTACGGGCGCCCGCGGGCAACTCTGCTGCAGCGGAGGAGGGCCCGCGGAGACAACGGCGGCTTCCCCGCCCGGCCCAAAACCGCCCAGAAGCGGTCCCCGGACGAGGAGCCTTTTCCTGCTCCCCCCCTCCTCCTCCTCGTCCTCCCCCTCCCCTCCTCCTCCTCCTCCTCCTCCTCCTCCTCCTCCTCCTCCTCCTCCTCCTCCTCCTCCTCCTCCTCCTCCTCCTCCTCCTCCTCCTCCTCCTCCTCCCTCCTCCTCCTCCTCCTCCTCCTCCTCTTCCCCCTGCTCCTCCTGCTCCTCCTCCTCCTCCCCCTCCTCCTCCTTCTCCTCCTCTTACTCCTCCTCCTCCTCCTCCAGCCGTTTTGGCCCCGACTGCTCGCCGTGCTCAGGTGCACTGCGAGCTTTTGCGGCCACCGACAATCTCCAAGCGATTTCGGCTGGGATCAGAAGTCCCCGAGTTTCGGGGATCCAGATCACTAATAGTCGGTCAGCCCGATGGGCAAAAGCAAGAAGTGGCGACAGGCTCGGAAAATGCAGGAGGTGCAGGATGGCGATCCTTGGCCACCCCTCCCTCGGCCACCTGGGCCTCAGCGCTTGCAGCATGCGCCTCCAACGAGTTCCAGTATCGGTTGGGCACCGTGGCACCCTGTGGCTCAGCAGCCGTGGATGGTGCCGCCGCCTCCGCCATGGCCAGGGACTCAGAGGAGGCCTCGGGAGGGGGCACAGCAGACGCAGGATTCGAAGGTCAAGTGCTCGGCGTGCTCGCGCTGGGCTTGGACGAGTAAGTTGCAGATGTATCAGGACACGTGCCTGTGTGGAGCGCCCTTCAGCAACCTACCTCCTCCTGAGGCGGGTGACGGTGAAGGGGCGGGCCCTAAGGCAGCGAAGGGTAAGGGCAAGGGCAAGCTCTTGCAGCAGCAGGCCGCCCTCGAGGAGCAGCTAGAGGCCGTCATCAAGGGAGGCGGCTCCGAGCAGGCGAAGGCGGCCCAGGCGCTGTTGGATGCGACTCGTGCTGCAGGGAAGAAGGCGGAGTCGGCGCAACCCATCACTCAGCAGGTGACGGCGGCGGCGTCGAAGGTGCAGAAGGCCCAGACGGCGTTCGATAAGGCGCAGTCTCAGCAGCTCAAGTTGACGATGGAGCTTGAGAAGTGCAAGACTACTTTGCAGGATGCAGCAGCCACCCTGGCCCGAGCTGAGGCAGAGAGGGCCAGGCTGTTCCGCTCGATGGTGCCTTCGGTGGAGGCTCAGACTCCTGCACAGGCGGGGGCATCCCCTAACACCATCGATTTGTCGGCGCTGATGTCTGCCCAGGCGGTGGACGAGTCCCTGTTCACTCTGTCGTTGGGCGAGGAGTTCAGTAATGCTGATGGGCTCATTCCCCCATCGGACGTAGCGGAGTTGGACAAGCGTAAGAAGGCGGTGATGGAGGCGCTGATGCACACCTTGCGCGCCACCTTCGGCGAGGCTCATGACAAGCTGAAGGAGCGTAGGGAGAAGCTCGCGGAGATGCGCGAGAAGATCACCAAGAGGCGCAGGGAGAACTCCCCTGGGCCACCGCCCGTTGCTGGGGCAGGCGCCGCTGCTGGGGCAGCCGCGGCTCCTGCAGGCGACGCCGCTGCGCAGGCTGCGGGCCAGGCGCCTGCGGTGCCTGCAGCGGCTGCGGCGCCAGCGGCCGCCCCTGGTGGGGATGCGCCCGCAGCGGCGACCGCTCCTGGAGCACCTGATGCAGTGGAGGCTGCCCGTTTGGCGGCCATTGAGTCCAAGCTGAAGGAGGAGGCGGAGGCGTTGCTGGCCACAGCGAGGTCGACGGCGGCTTCGGCAGGCCAGTCTGGCCTTTAGCCTTTCTGATCTCCTCGTTCGCGGCGGGCCTTGTGAGCGAGGGGCGGGCCCGCCTTTGCCACGTACAAGTTCGGCCCCTACCTGTTCGTCTTCAAGGCGAACGTTGTATATGCGCAACTTGGGTGGATGGGGCCCTGCCGCGCGGACGGTCTGTCGTGATCGTGCAGCGGATAGCCTTGTCTTCCCAGAGACCCGCGTTCCAGTTGCGGGGTCCCACGACTTGTTGCATGACTGGAGGAAGGCTGGCTACATTGGCATGCTCTCTGCGGCTTACGAGTCGAATGGTAAGTCCAAGGCAGGAGGCATCACCATGGGCACCCTTAAGAAGTACAAGGTTCAGTCGATGCGCCACCTAGCTTCTTCGCCCTCGGATCAGGTCGGGTTGCGAGATTTGGACCGCGGTCCGAAGGGCCAGCCTGGCATCGATTTTCGGGATATGGTGGCCATGCAGCTGAGGGCCCAAGGCCAGTCTTTGCTGATTGTTGGAGTGTACATGACCTCGTCGGTGGGCCCGAAGGCGAATGCTGCTAAGTTGGCCAATGTCGGCACTCTGGTTTCTACGATCCAGGGGCCATGGCTGGCCATCGGTGATTGGAAAATGACGCCAAAGGAGCTGGCTAGCACAGGCTGGCTGGCCATGGTCAACGGGGCGACCATCACCCCCACCAATGCGGAATATACCTGCACGCTGGGCTCGGGGCGAATGTTGGACTACATGGTTGCGTCTCAGCATGCGGTACCTTGGGTCGAGTCGTTGTTGGCTGATTTCCAGGCGGTCGAGGGGGCGGGGAAGGCTCACTACGGTCTCGAGCTTCAGCTCAACTTCGACGCCAGTCGGGCCAGAGCTTGGATCATGCGGTTGCCTCGTGCTTTCCCTCATCCTGGTCGCCCAAAGCCTGTCGCTGACCCCGACAGCAAGCGTTCGCAGAAGAAAGCGGAGGCCCAGGCTCTTCGGGATGCTCGCCCCCAACCAGCGCTGACGCCGTCTCCGCCGACGTGGGGACCGAGGCGTAAGCTGAGTATCAAGAGCCCTCCGCCCTTGCAGCATTCCCTCTTTGGTGAGGACGAAGACGAGTTTTTCACGGACGAGGAAGATGCGGATGCCCCTGACGATAACGACGATGAGCAGGTGGCCGCCTCGGAGTCTGAATTGGACACCTACGCTTCCATCCAGGCAGAATGGTCTGCTGAGGCGAAGGACTTGCTGTGGCAGCAGGTGGCGCCCAGGCCTTCGCAATCAGTGGTTCCTGTCCCTGATTTTGTTCAGCAGTCCGTGGCATTTCAGGCTGCTGATGATGACGCTCAGGCTCTTGGTACAGAATTCGCAACCTGGGTATCCACCATGGAGTTGTATTACATCGAGTTGTAGAAGGTGGACCCCATGGCGAGAAGGCAGTATTGTGGACGAGCTCAGCTTCGGGGCCCTCAGCTTGGTTGTCTTGAAGGTAGCAAGCCTTATCCTACAGTTGCTGGCCCCAGTGCCAGATGGTGGGGGACGGTAGCTAACTTGCTAGACGAACTTGTCGGTCAGAAGGGAGATAAGCGAGACTTTCCCCGTGCTCGTCACCTGCGAGATCAGCTGCGACATCTTGCAGGGTCGATTCCATCCTCGCAGATGGTCCCTCTTCCTGCTCGCCGACGGGATCGTTGGCTGAGGAGCTTGCGAACGCTGGATGGAGCCTCGCAGGATTATTTGATGAAGTTCGCCGAAGGTGCGCGTGCGGCCTCGGACCAGGCCCAGCGTGCTGTTGCGCGGCAGCGGCACCAAGCCTTCCGCGACTGGGTGCACCAGCAGGCCGTCCTGGGTTGTGGAGCTCTTCATCGATTTGTTCGTGACCCCACGGCTGAGGTCTCGGAAGTGAGGCTAGATGGAACTACTTCGTGCGACGCTGCTTCAGTGATGGAGGCGAAGGCAGCGGTCTGGACCCAGCTCTGGACTCCGTCGGGGCATGACGATGGTCTCGCTCTCCGTGTGCTGGACAAGGCTCGTCAGCTGGCGTTGCTCGACGTGCTGGAACCGCTCACCCTGGAACAGCTGGAGGAGGCGCTCCGTGGCATTTCGCCGCGGAAGGCCCGTGGCATCGAGTCGGTCGGCCAGAGGGACGTGTGGTGGCTGCCTGAGTCTGGCCGCCTTGCTTTGCTCGCCATCTTCCAGCAGGTCGAAGCTAGGGTCGCGTGGCCTTGGCAATGGCTGACGGCCATCATTGTCTTGCTTCGCAAACCTGATGTGCGCAGGGATCGCGCCATAGGATTGCTCACCTGGTTGGGTCGTTTGTGGAGTCGCATGCGGTCTCGACCTGCGGAGAGTTGGGCTTCTGCTCGCTCTGGTCCTTGGGGCGCCGCGGTTCGAGGCAACAGCGCTCTACGAGAGGCTTTGCTCAGGTGTTATGCTGATGAGGCTGCTCTTGCGTCTGTGCTGCCAGAGTACTGCTCAGCGTCGATCCTGTGAGATGTCGAAGCTTTTTATGATACCATTCGATGGGAAAAGGTTGTCGATCATGCGATCGACTTGGACTTTCCCCCTCACCCCTTGGCCCTGGAGACTTTTCTCCACATGGGGCCCAGACTTTTGAGGGACGAGGGGGTCTATGCCCCTCCCATTCTTCCGCGCGGGGGCCTCGTGGCTGGCGCTCGCAGGGCCCCCGATTTCTCGGAATGCCAGATGTTCGAAATTTGTGAGCGTGCGTGTGCCAGCAGTTCTCTCGCGCCCCTGCGCACCTGGATTGATGATGTCACTCAGCGTGCTGAGGGATTGAAGCGAGATGTTATTCGGGAGCTCGTTTCCTCCGGTGCTGTTTTTGTTTCGGGCTGTGAATCTGAGCAGCTCAAGATTGCTAGCAAGTCGACCATCGTGGCGTCAGAGCTGTCGGTGGCGAGAAAGATCCAAGATGGTCTTGGTCTAAAAGGCATCCAGGTCGAAGTGGCCTCGGTTGCGGCAGATCTTGGCATCGAGAGAGGTAGTGGCGTTGCAGTTGCCAAGCCTCGTCATTCTAAGCGTTTGGGTCAGGCCACTCGTCGTGCCTGCCGAATTAATAAGCTAGCTGCAGTGGCCCCTCGTAAGATCGGGGCGCGGTTGATCCTCACTGGGGCTTTGCCGCAGGCTTCTTACGCCTGGAAGGTTTTTGGGGTCGCGCCCTCGGTCCTACAGAAATGGAGGAGGGCACTCGCCAGCACTTTGGCTCGTGGCACGGCAGGGCGATGTCTCACGACCTTGCTGGCGCTCGAGGTACGGAAAAAGGACCCAGCTTTCACCGCTGCCTTTCAGCTGCTGGAGTCCTGGTTTCAGATTGTTGCCTCGCTGCCAGAAAAAGGATTGGATCGCATGTGTGCCTGTTGGCAGGCCACGGTTGATCGCATCGACTCCGTGGGCCCCCAGCGCAGGTGGCATAATGTTAAAGGGCCCGTCTCTGCTGTGGTTGCCACGATGACGGCCCTGGGATGGAAGCTCGAGGGGCCGTGGTCTTGGGTTGCTCCTGGGGGGGATGTCTTCGCCTTGCCCGATGAGCTTCGCTCCCAGGCTTTTATGACGTCGGATTTTAAGAAGGAAGTGGACCGAAGCATTGAGGCGCGTTTATGGTCCGCTGCCGCCGACTTCCGCCATGGAGGGGGTCTTGCATCTGGTGTCGACCTTACGGCCCCGTGGGGGCACCTTGCGTCCCTGCGACGAAAGTCGGTGCAGAAGTGGGGTTTGCTTCGGGCGGTCCTCTCTGGGGCTGTCTGGGCGCGAGCTCGAATTCAGGCGCGTGGGGGGGAGTGCGAGGTCACTTGCCCTCGGTGTGGGCTTGAGCCAGAGACGGACATTCATCGTTTCTGGCAATGCCCGTGCAATGCCGAATTCCAGCGAATTGATGATGCGTTCTCTCGTAAGGCGGCGGCTGCTGCCATTGATCTTCCATGCTTCTGGCTTCGCGGCCTCGTACCCCGCGAATGGACGTCGGTCCCTCCTCCTCCCGACGACCCGATCCTCTCTGCCGCTGGTGTGTTTCCTGGGCCTTGTGAAGGAACTCGCATCTGGGGCGCTGGGGACGCGAGTGGTGGGGAGTTTACGAAGGATAAGCGTCTTAGGCGGGTGTCTTGGGGCGTCGCGGTTTTTGGCCATGATGTTGTAAACCTTCCCCCCTGGTGTCGGAAGCCGACATTAAGTTTTTAAAGGGGGGGATCTCTGGGAAGCAGTCTGTGACTCGGGGTGAGCTCTGGGCCCTTGTAGTCTTCCTAGAGTCGGCGTGTGATGGAGCCTGCCTGGGTTATATTGCGGACTCGGCGCATGTTGCCCGAGGGTTCGCTCGTGTCCAGGCTGGCCTCCGCAAGCGAATTCAGACCCATTCTGATGTGTGGAGCCGCGCCCAGAGTGCTCTGGAGCGTCTCGGTGATGTGGCTCTCGTGCAGATTCCGAGCCATCTCAATGTGGGTGTTGCCGTCCGTCGGGGTTTGAATCCTGGAGTTGTCCTGGCGAATGCTGTGGCCGACTTAGTTGCTGGCCATTTTGCGTCCCAGGTCCAGGTGCCCTATGGAATTTCGGCGCCCGTCCGCTTCGCGGATGGCCTAGCTCGGAAAGTGCAGAATCATCTCTTGGATGTGATGTCTGATGTTGTGGAGCACGAAGGACGTCGGCCTCCCCGACCCCCCAAGGTGAAGGTTCGGAGGTCGGTTCGCCAGCTTTTGCGCTCGGCTGCGGCTCGGACCACCCATTCGTGCCCTTTCATTTGTGGGGATTTTTCGCGGTGTCAGAAATGTGGGTGCAGTTCGACCAGCCGTGATTTAACGGCTCTTCTGAATTCGCCGTGCACTCCCATGGTCTGGTCTGGATCGGTTTTTCGTCCGACGGCTGCGGTCTGTGTCAGAAGTCGTCTTGTGGACCCCTCCCATGCTTTGGCTTTTTGGCCTGAGGCCAATGTTTTGTGGTGCCTTACATGTGGAGCGTACTCGACCCAGCACCTTGGAGACCTAAGTAAGGAGTGTTCGGGCCGCCTTGAGAAGGCGGGGTCTCAGAATCTGCAGAGGATCGCCCAGGGCAAGGTCCCTGGCAGCCTTGTTTGGGGGAAGGAGCGGAAGGAAAGGGCTCGGGCGAAGGGGGGGGGAAGGAGAGAGAGCGGCGAGCGCGGCCCCGCGCGCGCGTCGTGCGGCGCCTTTCGGCGCCGACGCGCTGGGCGCCGACGTCGAGGCGACCCTCGCCGCCAGGCGCCGCCCAGCCTCTCTCCCGCCCCCCGCCTGCCCCCCTCCGCCTCCCGTCGTCCCCCAGCCTGCCCAGGTGGCGTAGGTGGTTGGGTGTGCGCCACCCTGGGCAGGCCACTGTCTTCGGTAAGGATCATTGTGATCTCTCGCTATATATACTCCTCCTCCTCCTCCTCCTCCTCCTCCTCCTCGTCCTCGTCCTCGTCCCCCTCCCCCTCCTCCTCCTCCTCCTCCTCCTGCTCCTGGACTCCTGCTCCCCCTCCTCCTCCTCCTCCTCCTCCTCCTCCTCCTCCTCGTCGTCCCCTCCCCCTCCTCCTCCTCCTCCTCCCCCTCTCCCCCTCCTCCTCCTCCTCTCCTCCTCTCCCCTCCTCCTCCCTCCTCTCCTCCTCCTCCTCCTCCTCCTCCTCCTCCTCCTCCTCCTCCTCCCCCCCTCTTCCCCTGCTCCTCCTGTTCCTCCTCCTCCTCCTCCTTCCTCCCCCTCCTCCTCCTTCTCCTCCTCTTACTCCTCCTCCTGCCTCGCTCCTCCTCCTCCTCCTCCTCCTCCTCCTCCTCCTCCTCCTCCTCCTCCTCCTCCTCCTCCTCCTCCCGGGGCCCGTGGAGCCGAGCCCAGCCGTGGCGACGAGAGGCCTCCAGGAGGCCCAAGAAGAGCCTCGGCATTGCTCGGGCGTGGGCATGTTCTTCTCGGCGAGGGCCCTCGAGGAGCATCCTGGAGCGTCCTGCGAAAGATACGCGCGCGACATCGGCACATGCACGGGGGAGGGACGTCCTGGCGATGGCGAGGAGCGACAACCCGCAAGACCCATCAGGACGAGGGGCCCCAGCGCGAACCCACTCCCCGTGCCTCGGGGCACGGCGGCCCCAGACGTGCGCGCGAGGAGGAGACGAGGAGGACGGCCGCGGGGGAGGCACGGGGGAGGAGGGCTCGGGATGCGAGTCGGCGGCGAGCGAGGGGGGAGAGTTTCGGGCTGGAGGCTCCAGGTTCTCGGGCGTCTTCGTCGGTTCTCGGCGGCTGCCCAGCTTCGGGATGCTTGCCAGCGGCTGCGCCTCGCCGAGGACGTCCCAGGGGTGCCTGGATCGTCCCGAGCGGCCGCAGGAGGCCCGAGATATGACCCAACAACTAATTAGAAAGTCGGCGGCGCGCGAGGGGGGGAAGTGAGAAGGAGGAGGTCCTCTCAGAAGGCGGCGGGGCTTCTCAGAAGCCCCCTCCGGCCTCCTGGGAAGACTGTGGGTGTCTTCGGGGAAGGCTCCAGGGAAAACGTCTCCAAAGGCCGGGGAACCTCCGAGCCTTCTGCGCAGGCTCGCCCCTTCTCATTCCCCCCGGGCGCGCCGCCCGGTGAGGCGACGAGAGGCGAGGCGGTCGACGTGGACGAGAAGGAGGGGAGATGGATGGAGGGAGGCGAGGGACCATCGACGGGCAGGACATCGGGACGAGAGGGGGAGACCTGTGCCCACTTCGATTCGGCAAGACGTCGGCGGCAGTGTTCATCGAGGGCTCGCGCGGTGAGGGCCCCAGGCACGCGACGTCCGGATGTTTTCCGTGCGGGGTCACCAGAAGTCCCGACCCTCTCTCCAGGGCCAGCGTTTCGTCCCGAGGCGTCGTTGTTTGACGGCCCCGGGGCCCGGCGAGGGCCCCCCCGAGGCCGAGAGTGGGCAAACACCTGCCGTCCTGACTTGTTGTACGGCGCGACCATGTCTGGGGCGCTGTCCCTCGCCCTCCCGCCCCCCCGGGCAGGAGCTGCGGACGGCCAACCTGTCCATGCTGTTCGAGCCCTGCTGACGACCGCCTCCCGGTGCTGCTGCTCCTCGGCCTCCTCCCCCTCCGCCCGGCCCTCCTCCCCCCGCGCTCCTCCCCCAGTCCTTCCTCCTCCAGCTCCTCGTCATCCTGCACCTCCCTGCCTCCTCCTCCCTCACTCCCTCCTCCCTGACTCCCCCCCTGCTCCCTCTCGTTCCTTCCTGCTCCCTCCTCCTCCTCCTCCTCCTCCTCGTCCTCCTCCTTCTCGTCCTCCTCCCCCCTCTTTTGATTCTCCACATGTTCTCATCCGAGCCCTCCTTCTCACGCATACTCCCCCCGACGCGTTCGTATGTCTCTCCATATCGTGCTCCTCCTCCTCCTCCTCGTCCACAATCACACAATCTGAATACTACTCTCCTCTCTCCCCTGGTGACGTCCGGGAAATGGCCAGCCCCCTTTCGCGTACTGGTGTTTTACACCGGATTTCCCGGGAAACAGGTTTTCGCTCCGTTTTTTTTTTCAAAATGCTGCTCTCGCTGGGGCGTTGGCTTCATTTTCGGGCCACCGCTCGTTCCGAATCGTGCTCCCGCTGCAGCGCTGGTCATTCGCGCTTCCGCTCGTTCCGAATCGTGCTCCCGCTGCAGCGTTGGCGTCATTGTTTCCAGCGCCATGCCACGGCATGGTTTTCGGTCTTTCCGAATAGGCTCCAAAATCAAGAGCATGCTCCCTGAAAAAGCCATCGGAAGTGATTCCACATTCGGTGTCGATTCGTTGATTTTTGGGGTCGCAGAAGCCCCCAGCGTCGCCACGCCATGTTATGTCAGGCTCCGCTGCAGCGCTGGCCTCATTTTCGCGGTTCCGCTCGTTCCGAATCGTGCTCCCGCTGCAGCGTTAGCGTCATCATTTCCAGTGCCATGCCACGGCATGGTTTTCGGTCCTTCCAAATAGGCTCCAAAATCTAGAAAATGCTCCCCGAAAACGCCATCGGAAGTGACTACACATAGGGTGTCGTTTCGTTGGTTTTTTTGGCCATAGAAACCCCTGTGGGTCGTCGCCACGAATTGCTATGTCATGCTACGCGTTGATCTTCAACACCATGCTATTCCATGTATTGCTACGCCATGCTGCGACATCCGACTCTGCAAATAGAGAAGAGATTTACGCCATGGTAAGGGATGGGAGGGAGGGCTACAACGTCAGATATGACGCGAGCGCACCTAGCTTGCCCTCCTCCCCCTCCCCCTCCCCCTCCCCCCCCCCCCTTCCCATGATCATCTTGTGGAGCGTCCTTCCCCCCCCCTTGCCCCTTCTCCCTCGCCCCCCCCCCGATCGTCGTCCTCCTCGACGCTCCGCCCTGTGCCCTCGCGTCCTCCCCTTCCCCACCGTCGCAGCAGGCTGCAGGGCCTGCCTTCCGCCGAGGCCCCGCCTCCTCTCCCGCGGCCGCCCTTCGCGCGCCCTCCTCCTCCTCCTCCTCTCCTCCTCCTCCTCCTCCTCCTCCTCCTCCTCCTCCGTCCTCCTCCTCCCTCCTATCCTCATCCTCCTCCTCCTCCTCCTCCCTCCCTCCTCCTGCTCCTGCTCCTCCTCCTCCTCCTCCCCCCCCTCCTCCTCCTCCTCCTCTTCCTCCTCCTCCTCCTCCCATCCCGTTCCGCCGTCCGCCATCCCGTTCCGCCGTCCGCCACCCGCCGCCAGGAAGCTCTGCATGCCCTCGATGCGGCCAGGCCCTGCGCCAGGCGGACACCGCGCGTTGTGGTGCGCGCGCCCTGCGGGCGCTCGGCCCCCGCAAAGCCAGGCACGACGCCGGCCTCCGCGCAAGCACGTGCAACTAACCCCCCCCTCCCCCCCCCCCCCACACACACACACACACCCACACACAACACACACACCACACACACACACACACACACACACACACACACACACACACACACACCACACACACACACACACACACACACACACACACACACACACACGCACACACACACGCACACGCACACACACACACACACACACACTTGGGGCGAGAGCGAACCTCTTTCCGCTAAAAGCTAGGCGCTCACACACGCGCAAAAACACACGCCCACGCACACTCGCGCATGCTCGCGCGGCAGAGGCCCGCGCGCGCGGTCGTACCGCAGGGCATGGTGCCTGAGCGCGCTGCGTGCGCCTCGCACACGCGTATGCTCGCGCACCGCCGCAGCTGCCCCCTTCCTCCCCCTCCTCCTCCTCCTCCCCCTCCTAAGCCCTTCCTGCTCAGGCCAGGGGGAATTGGGGCTCCCTGTCAGGATTTGATGCAGGCTACACCCCTACCGCCTGAAGCCCCAGCTCCCGCCCACCATGTGGGCCTCTCTCCTACAAACCGTACTTTATAATCCACTCTCTCTTAGCGACACATGGCGGGCACATGAGGTTTCTACTCGCTTGAGCTTTGCAGACCTGATATTGTTGCCAGGAACACAGCAGCGCCGCCGCCCAGGAGACCCACCGACCAGGATGAAGCTGGAGAAACACACGATGGTGCAGTTCGGGTGGCAGCGGGGGAAGTACACAAATAAAAGCGCAGGATGCGCCATCATGCTCAGAAGACGGGCCTTCAGAGAGGCCCACGTACATGAGGTACTGGAACCACCACGAGAACTGGCGGGTCGGGGAGGGGCAGTTCGACTCAAGAGTCAGACCTTCGACATCATGGTTGTGGTTGCCTACTACCCGCCCCCACAGAGGCATCAGATCGACCATTGGAATACGACATGTGCTAAGCTTACGGCGTGGCTTCATAGGACGATACAGCGAGCCCGTGCACGATGTATGATAGTGGTGGGAGCAGATACGAACTCAGAGTTCGGACGACGCAGTGGGCCCAGCGGCACTCCGACGACGACGCGGGATGACATCCACATCGGCCCGTTCGCCAACAGCTACGAGAATGGGGTGAGCGCCGCATTGTGGCGTATGATGAGCATGGAAGGGTTGGCAGCGATCGACACCTTTTATGATACTGGGCCGACATACTTCGGAGCCGAAGCTCATATCACCTCGCACCCAGACCATCTATGGGGACCGTGCGAAGCTGTGCAGGCGACCAGATCGTGTGTATGTCTCAGAAGAGCGACGCGAGATCTACAACGTATTCCTTCACCTCTACTTCGGGACCATTGCCCTATGTTGTGGAGAGTTCACTACAGACTGCAGACCGCACCTCATCCAGATGGACGGCGCCTTAGGTGGGACAGAGACCTCATGGGTCTGGCACTGAATCAGCGAGGGGCCCCCGAGTTCATCGCGGAGCTGGAGAGAAGATGTGAGAGGTCGGCGAGAGAGTGGCGAAGTTATCTTAGAGCAGATGACCCCTCGCTTTCCTGGTTTCACCTAGTGGCAGACATCACGGAGGCAGCACAGACAGAATTCTTGGATACCAAGTCGAGGGGGCAGTCAGATGCATATCGAGAAGAGAGAGATCGACTTCTGGCAAAGAGGCGGCAGCTCAGTGTTTACTTTCGAGAAGAGGATCGACTTAGACTGCGAGCTTGTGATCGAGAGATCAAGCGTGCACGCAGCAGGCTGGACAGGGAGAACGTCGAGGCGCTGCTGAAGGAGGCGCAAGCGGCCTCGGACCGTGGCCACACCAGCACGGTATGGAAGATCGCCTTTCAGATCGGGGCGCGTTACCACGGAGTGAGGAGAAGACGCTTCAACCTGATCCCTACGTACGCCCCGACGTTGCAGGAGTGGCAGGACACGCTGGAGTCCGACGCGAAGGAGGGCGGCTTCTCGGCTGTTCGACTACGAGGACCAGGCATCCCTCGCAGCGTGGCACTGGCTTCGAGAGAGATGGAGGATCCTGATGGAGAGTGGAAAGATTTGCGAGGACGACCTGGGTCAGCCGCCTACGACGACTGGACGAACACGCTGCACTGCCTTGAGAAGGCGGCCAGGCGCAGGTACTCCCCCCCGCACTCCGCCCCCTGCGAGGTGTGGCTCATGGCGATGAGGGCGGCTACTCGAGAAGCCAGGGGCGAACCAGCAGACGAAGATCCACAAGTGAGAAGACAGCGAGTTCACGTCCCTTGTCCAAGACTGGCGGAGCGCATTTTTGAGATACTGAGGCAGATTCGGAATACGTGTCGCACACCCTACCAGTGGCACTGGTCAAAGACGTTCCAGTTGAGCAAGGGTAATGACAAGAGGGGCACCAAAGCGATGAGACTCATTCACTGCTACTGCCCGTTCGGCAAAGCTTGGTACAGAGGCATTTTTGTAAGACACGAACGCCCAAGACTTCCATTGCACGCACATGGATATGCAGCGCACAGGTCGAGGCAGAGCGCCCAGCTGGTGGCTAAACTTCACTCGTGGAGATTACGAAAGAAGCTCGTCTCGCACCTGCAGATCAAGAAAGATATGAGCAATGCGTTCCCCTCGACAGATCATGACATCCTGGAGCAGGTGATTGGGGAAGTGATCCCCGACATGCAGGACCAACTCTTCTTGCTCCAGAGGATTCGCGAGGCCGTCATTGAGGTGGAGGCTGGAGAAGAAAAAGGCTTCTTCCAACCCACCCACGGCACGGGCATGGGCGACGGCAATGCGTGTGAGCTGTTCGTGCGGTCGTTCGTCAAGCCGCTGGAGGTGTGGAACCAGATACTCCTACAGGGCACCCAGGCCACCTTAGAGACGGAGAGTGGCGGCTCGGTACCGATGATGGAGGCGGCGACGCTGATTGACTCGCCCATCCACTCCGAGCGGATCGACATCTCCATGCGCGACTACGCCGACGACGTATCGCAGACCCTGCCGCTGCCGAATGGCAACCCCGTCCACGCAGCGGAGAGGGCAAAATTGTCGTCTCGTATCTTGTCTGATCAGCTCGAGGAGATAGGAGGGTTCGCTCAGAATGTAGACAAGGAGATCATCCTCCCAGTCTTTGTCGGCCCAGGGGGATACACGGCTACAAGGGCCGTACTCTCAGGACTAGTCCAGTTCCCAGGGCAGACTCGAGCGGAAACCATCTACCTCGGAGGACTTGAGCACTTGACGGGAGGTTC